AGGGCACTTTAGCAGTCAGTCAAATCAGACTTCTTTCTCCCATGAAAAAACTGACTTCATTTTTCAATGGAAATAAGTGTTTTAATATGCATCCTTGCAGCAACCATTGAACTTCTGAATTCTGATTCTAGGATAGGGAGCTAAAGGCACAGTGGTTTATCATGACTTTGTCACTGGCATGAAACAAGGTACTGACCCCTTAGTATTTCTTATTCACACTTTCTTTACTTTGCTCCCATGGTGAGCATCCTCAGGAAAACGCATTTTCAAATTGTTCCTCTGTTTGGAACTCAGAAGTTTTATACTTTGGAGAATTGCAAGAGACAGGTAAGAAGTAAAAAGGACTTTTTGAAAAAAGATAGAAAAGGAGGATTGCAGACTGCAGGCTCTTTCTCAGGCAGACCAATTTTAGGAAAAAGTGAATGTGGAATTTAAGAACCTGGACATAATGTCCTTAAATCAATCTGTGGCTGTGTACCTTCTGGAAAAATTCTTCCTGTGTTCTCTGGGGTATGTACACCAGCATGAACACGATTGATTTAGCTGAATTCACTCATTTTTCAAATGGGTAGACTGAGATAAAACTAGCCCAAATTGACATAGTGAGTTGATGGTGGAACCTGGATGTCGGTCAAACTCTGGTCATTCCTAGTTTGGTGTTATTTCTCCAGCACCCTTGTGCCTAAGCCTTCCAGGTCTGTCCTTGTTCCCCAGGGCCACCACTGAACAACTCCTCAATACATGTTCACTTGTTCCTGATTGACCCATGTTTCCTAGTCTCTTGCTCAAACCAACTCACCTCTAATCAAAATGGATTCACTCTGTTTTAAAGTTGCCAGATTTATCAAGTAAAAATACAGGATAACCAATTAAATTTGAATGTCAGATAAACAACAAATTATTTTTGAGTGTAACTATGGTCCTTATAGTGCATGGGATATACTTATACTAAAAATTATAACTGGACATCCTTATTATATTTGAAAATTCTATTAATGTGTGTCTCTCCCTCCACCCCCACCCCAGGAGCTCTGCTTCCTACTAAGGGGCTACAGGTTAATCTGATTAACCAATTCTTAAGACTGGGTTAGTACGTTACTAGGTTAAAAGGGTCAAATTTCAAACCAAAAGGGTGACTTGATCATAAGAATTTAAGGCACCATAGGATTTTTTGGCTTACTTAGGGGAACTAGAGGTTATGACATATATAGTCTTTGACTAAGGCCTCAAAAGCTAAAATGGTAACAGGTACCAGTTTTTGCATTCAGTATATTGTTTACCAAATCAACTCTCTTTCTCTCCCCTTTCCTTTCTGCCTCCCTCCCATCCTCTCTCTCTTGCTGTTTTGAAATGCATTTATTCCAGGAGAGGTAATACAGTAAGGCATTATCAGTTCTTCACATCATAAATTAAAAAGCACATAAAAGGCTAGGAAGAGGGCTGGCCAAGTGGCGCGATGGTTAAGAGCTGGCTTGGAATGCCAGAGGGCCCCGGTTCGGATCCCACATATGAGGGCCAGTGACACTGCCCTCCACAGCTAAGATGCTGAACAACNTAGAGAAAAAGCTTCAATTCTGTGCTTTTTCCAATCTTATAGAACAGTGCCCCCTATAAGAGGATGCCTCCAGTTTTCTTTGTTGCTAGCTGTCCCAGTGGATAGAACTTAGACAGTTTTCCAGTGCTCGGTATATTTTGGTCACTATAGAATGATAAAAAAATTCAACTCACCAGGAATGCATTCATATTTACCTAAATCAATAGAATCAGGATCTATTAAACAAACAATAATGTAATTACAGGCAAAAAATGAGAAATCATTGTCTGTATTGAGAGCTCTTGACACACCTTTCTCAACTATTGATAGGTCAAAGAGACAAAATAATTAGAAAGATTTAAGATATTTAAACAACACGCTATGGAAATATACCGTGCTCTGCACTCCACACTTAGAGACTGTCTTTCCTCAGTATCACAAGGTATATCATTGAGTAGGAGTTATTTGGAGGTCAAGTCTTTGGAGGAGGCATCTACTTACTTTGCCTGAGCTTAAGGCAAGGTGCATTAAAGAGATCCATGGAAATAATTACTCTTTTCAAGGTCACCTGCCGAGTGACTGAGGCTAAAGACACAATCCTGGTTGAGTAGCCATGCAGCAGAGCATGCCATGCCATTGGGTTGAGGAAGATGTAAACAAGGAACTATTTATTATGCATAAAAACAGGACCTGCAGCTGGGTGTGCTTCCAGTGGGGGAGCAGCAGGGGGTCATGGTGGGGCTTTACCTATAGTTTCCAAAGGTTGTAACCTGGAAATTAACATTGTTCCCCCAGCTCCTGGACATCTGTAGGTCTTTCCATTGCAAAATGCTCCTCGGTTTGCTGCAAAGAGCAACCTCTGCCATATGGGGAAAGAGGTAGGTTGATGATGGGGATCTGGAAAAACTCCTGACCAGCCGGGCTCAGGAACCAAGGAGACCACCAGGTTTGACACATTGTCCTAGGGAAAGCTGGGAAATAGGAAAAATTTCCCCACCATCATTCTAAGTGATTTTAGATTCTTAGGGTCCCAGCAATCTAAGCTAATTACTTTAATCTCTTAAAGTAACTTGCAGTCTTACCATTACACAAATATTATAATGATTAAAATAAAAACATTTACAATAGTAAGTGCTAGCAAGTATGTGGAGCAAGTGGAACTCTCGTACAGCGCTAGTGGGAATGAGAATGGTACAGCCACTTTGGAAACCAGTGTGGCAGTTTCTTACAAACACACTCTTACCATAGAGCCCAGCAACCCCATTCCCTGGTATTTACCCAAGAGAAATGTCAATTTATGTTCATATAAAAACCAGTCTGGGGCTGGCCAAGTGGCGCATTGGTTAAGAGCTGGCTTGGGACGCCAGAGGGCCCTGGTTCAGATCCCATATATGAGGGCCAGTGATACTGCGCCCTCTACAGCTAAGATGCTGAACAACAGCCCAACCTGGAGCTGGGCTGCCGTGAGTTGCAGATGGCAGCGTAGGCTGCAGCCCCTGCTGCAGTGGGTTGCCATGGGCTACTGTGTGTAGCCGGCAGCCTCTGTGAGCAACTGTCCAAAAGCCAGCGACTGATCTGCCTTGCCTGGGAAGAGTGCAATGATGGTGCCAACTTGGGCCAGTGAAGCAATGTCCTCCACAACTAGACTGAAGAACAAAAAGGACAGCAACTTGTCTGTTCCCCTTCCCCCAATTCCCCAGTAAAAATCTTAAAAAAAAAAAACACCTCAAAAAAACCAGTCTGCTGGGCCAGCCAAGTGGCTCAGTTGCTTAAGATCTTGCTCAGGAGTGTTAGCTCTGAGCAACATCAGTTAGATGCCTGAGCTGAGCTGCTGCTGAGCTGCCAACAGGTGGCAGGATGACTCAGCTAAAACAAAACAAAACAAAACAAAACAAAACAAAACAAAACAAAACAAAACAAAACAAAAAACCCAGTCTGCCAATGTTTGTAGGGGAATTATTCACAATTGCCAAAAACAGGAAACAACCCAAATGTTCATTAACTAGTGAATGAGTAAACAACCTCTAGTACATCCATACAATGGATGATAACTCAGCAATAAAAAGTACAAATAACATAAATGAACCTCAAATGCATTACGCAAACATGTTATAAATATTAATATTTTAAAAAACTGTTACATAACTTTGAAAAATGAATCAATTGGGGTCAAAATACTGCATTAATTTGATGCCCACAATCATCCATTTAAAAAATATACAAAAAGCACTTTGTCTTTAATAGTTGGAAATTTTAAATCACAGCTTCTTCTCCTTGAACTCCTATTTCTATTCCTCTTATTCCATAGACTTTTAATCTAATGCAATGTAATTTATGTTCAAAAGTCTTTTACATTCATGACCCTTTCATACTAATATGCAATAAAAATGCATATCAATTAAAATTTAATGTTTTAATTTACTATGACCATTAGACTCTAGGAATAAAATTTTTTCTTGTGGATTTATTTTGCATTCCATTTGTTATTTAAATAACATAATAATGAATATACAAATAAATACATTGAAACTATTGATAAACATACAAAATTTTATTAATAAACAGTATTCTATAGGTAATGCATCTCTTAATGATATGTAAGTGCATGGGAATAAAAGGTGTTTTGTTATAGGTATGTCACTTGGTTCTTTGAACTTCTAGTAAGTTGCCAAAAATCAAATAATACTCTATAATCAAAACTTATTTTAATGATCTAATTTAAATATTAATCAAATGCTTGATTAAACCCTCTTTCAATTTTTATAAAGGCATAGTATTGGAAATCTTATACTTACAAAAGAAGTTGTTTCCTATTAGTTAGAACATTGATCACAAAACACAAGTGATTATCTTAATTTCTGGAAAGTTTAACAAAACGGCTTTACCAGCATTTACCAAATGATTAGTAATGTTGTTAATTATACCTGTTATTCTTTTGTTGAGACACCTTATTTAATCTGAAAGACTCTGTTAAGTGTTGGGAAGTCTGAATACTATTAACTTTGATAGACCCTTGAAAATATAGCTTTCAGAAAATGCTGTTATCTTATTGCATGCTTTAAATATATATACATATATATATATATATATATATAT